CCCACCCCCTGCTGCCTCCACCCTCCCTGAGGTTGCTGGCTGCCCTCCGCCCTCCCATCACCCCCATCTTGATGCCTCGCCACTTGCTGGCGACATTGGCTATCATGGTTGCTGAGGCGGGTGCGCAGTGCCAACGCCTCTCGCCTCTCCGCCTCCTCCACGAGCTCTGCCTCCTCTCGACGCCTCTTGTTGCGCTCTGTGGTCGATTCAAAGGACTCGGACGCCCGCTTCTTGCCCTTGGCCTGAATCGGCTCCCACTCTTTGCGCTCCCAAAGCTTGTAGGCCTCCTTTGCTGCAGCAGCACGAGTAGCGCAGTACACGGCGTACTCCATCGCTTCCTTGGCGTGCTACCTCGTGCGAGGGGTGAAGGGGGGGCTCAACTCGTTGAGGCAGCTTACGAGGCAGACCATCAAGTCCAAGCTTCTTGGCCGGGTGCTTGTAGGCTTGGCCATCAAAGCTTCGGAAGTACCGCTTGGGGACCAGAGGCTCACAAGTAGACCCGATTGGATTGCGATCTAGGCCGTGGTGGACGTGCAAGTGGTCAAGGAATTCGTCGATGAACTTGACCGAGACTGTTACGAATGTCACAAGAGACTGAAGATCAGCTTACTGTGCGAGAGTGTGCGAGCACCAGCTTCTTCGCAGTATTACTCACCTCGGCCACCACAGCCGCAGAATGCCTTGCCCTTGACACACGCCTGGCACGAGTCGAACGCATCTCCGCGCCAGAGGCACGGCTGCTGCTTCGCCTCGCAACGGGCGCAGCCGCGAGCAAAGGCAAGATCGCCATCGACAGTCTCATAGAGGATATTCGCCCTTGCCTCACACCGCCACGAGTCGTCAGCCACGTTGAGGCGGGCCCAGCGGATGATGGGCCAGTCCTTTTTCGCAGCTGTGTTGAGGAGCCACTGAGGCAGGTCGTATGTGATGCCTGCCGCATTGATATCCCAGAGGGCCATTGCTGGGTTCAATAGTTGCAGCATACGTGTCTGCCATAGCTTCTCGGGGCGACTTTTGGCGATGAGCATGAGCTTGCGGGCGTCATCGGGGGGAGGATTGGCGACTACGATGACGGGCGGGGCCAATTGTCGCACTTGATCACCTCCATCTTCACCCTCGACAGGATTGTTGATGCCGAATGAATCTTCGACATCGTCATCGCTGTCTTCTTGGTCGTGGTGGTGGCCCTGATGATCACCAGCGGTTGCGAAGGAGGCGGAGCGAGAAGCCGATGCGTGCGATTCAGTGCGGTCGAGCGGCCTGCTTGCCGTTGACTGCGTGCGCTCAAGAGGCATGCTTGTTGAGGTCTGGCTCGGCTGGACTAGCCTGCGCTATGACCCCTTCTTTGCCCCTATCTGGTCTCTTGAGCTCGAGTCTGTATCTCCTTCAGCTGATCCATCACTTTGAATCGACGTGCTTCACGTCACACTGGGCGTGGTAGGCGTAGCTAGTTTGTCCAAGTTCTCGGGGATGAGAGGTGGGAGTGAGTGCAGGCGATGCTTGAGCAAGGAGCATGACTGTGCACGGAGCGAAGACAGCAGGATGGCCCTACGTCAGATCGATGCTGGCCCAAGTCAAGGGATTACGGCACTCACTGTTGCTACGAAGGCGTGGGCAGAAGTCTTGCAGCGACTCGCTGCCTGGTTCGAGTGTGGATGGATGTAGGTCCGGTCGTGGGTGGTGAGCTGAATTGAGGTTGGTGCTGGTTCAAGTTGCAGCGAGGGTGGGACTGCGGGGCTGGGTATTTATAATTTCAGTCGAGGGAGAGGCGTCGACATGAAAGTACTCCGAGCGAGCTGTGGGTTGCAGGACGGCAGGAGGGTAAGGTGATTGCGGGCCGTGTGATTGGTTGCGGGACAAAGAGAGCGACGGCGAGGCGGGCGGCACGGCGGGGCGGGCGGGGCGGGCAGTGCGGGCGAGACAGGCGGGACAGGCGAAGCGACGAAGCGACTCGAGACGGATGATTAGACGGCTTTCTCCATCTTTACCCTCACCTTGATTTACCCTCGTACCGTGATCCTATTCGCAAGCCCGTCGTCCTCCGCACTTTCATCATCATCATCCCCATCGAGCAATCAGACTTCGGGCCGAACGGCGCGCAGAGCGCGAGCGAGCAAACGCCCACCGATCGCTGTGGCCCGCAAAACCAATCATCGCACTCGTCGTCCCGCACTCTCGCTCGACGCCCGCAAAACCAATCATCAAGCTCATCGCCCGCACTTCTGCGGCCCAGCCAATCACAACCTCCGCCTCACGACCTGCGCCTCACGACCTCCGCCACACAACGGCAATCACGTTGACGCTCGCACCCATTGATCCGCTCAGACTCGATACGTCACGCGGCGCCAAGAGATCACAGCTGCTCTGCTCGGCGCTCTTCCTCTCGCTCATCTAATCACGCCTGACTCGTACGGCTAGGCAAGTTGCGGCAAGGCAGACAATCCTTTGTTCCATTCCAGCAGTCTTTGCACGGCAATTTCTTTCTTCGACTCGCTCGTCCCTGCACCCCTACTCGATCAGCTCCCTTCGTGTGGACGTCTCGGGGTGGACCAACCATTCGCCAGTCCAACCTAGCCTCGCCACCTCGTCTCATCACCTCGCCTCGCCACCTCGCCCGCCGAGAGCTTCATATCCCAAGTCGCACGCGCACTCCAACGCTCAGCCACCGTCAACCCGGAGCTTCGTCCGTTGATCCACGGCCACGGCCAAGACGCAACGCGCACAGTGAGTAGAGTGGCGCTCGCGTAGCTGAGGTAGCCTCGACCTGACTTGTTCTTCTTGTCTCTCGCTCAGGCATCCACTACTCCGCCTCGCAATGGCACCTGATTGCCGAGAGCTTGTGCAAGCTACGCATCACCGTGACTCCAAGTGCAGCCACGACTACGCCGCGCTGAGACACCTATTCGCAGTACCAAGCGGAAGTGATGTGGAAAGCCTTGAGTCGTATTCGCCATAAGGGACTGCCTGGCGCAACCTTATGACTCTCTGACCGGGCTGTCGTCAGAGTCATCGATCAGAAGATGGAAGACTCATCTTCTTCTCTCTCAGCCAGCCAGCTCAACCACTCTGGCTCTTCCCTCTCTCCTCTCGCCTCTTCATCCGGCCTCGCAGGCTCAATGAAACGCCTGACCCCACCCTCATCCCCGCCAACTCGCCTGCCTTACCTCAGCGACGGGCATCATGTGGTGGCCATCTAGAAGAACGACACGCTGCAGCTGGACTCAATTTGGGGCACAGACTTCCAATCCTTCTCTCACACGGTCCACGCGAGCTCCGGTCGGCATGCAATTGATCTCTCTCTCTCTCACGGAGAGGCCGGGATGGGCCCTGCAATGCTGGACGGAGGTCAGGAAAAGCGGCCGATCCCTACCGGACGAGGTCATCGCCGTCTCCGTCGTCGCTGGAGAACAAGAGACATTCGATCAGCTCAATGGCAGCTCTCTGGTGCGAATGGGAGGCGAGCGTCGGGGCGTATGGCTCTTATTCAGCCCTATGCCTCTCCACAGCGGCGCCGTCTTCCCCTCCTCGCCTGTCCTGCAATCGGCACCTCTGCGATTACGTCGACAGCAAGTCTCCCGCTCGGCAAGTACTTCCGCCGCTGCATCCGGTGCATCGTCTTCGATGCCACCTCCTCCGCCGCGCCCTCTTCCAAACCGCAACCCATCTCAGCCAAGAGGAGTAGGGCGCGTCAGTACCGCTGGTTCACCGGGCCCCATCATAGGAGGCCTGAACATGCTGGGACTAAGCGACGTGGCTAGCAGCGCGGGGCCGAGCATCACACCACCGCAGGCATCGACCGAAGTCGGACATGGTGCCGTCGCTGTCGAGGCTGCGACAAGAAGCACCCGGCGTCTCAGCCACGCATTTTCTTCCTCTATTGGCAGCGAGACTTCCGAAGGTCTCAACGACAGGGCTTCTTTCCTTGTTGAAAACTCTTCGCTCGAACGCGCCACTGATGCTTCGCTCGACGGCTCCCCGACCAAGGCAGCACAGGGGCTAAGGGTTCAGAGCAGAAGCCCGATAAAGAGGCGAAGGGGCCATTGCCGAGCAAACGTTGAAGGCGATGGCCTCTCTTTGCCCGCAGACGCAGAAGGACTCGCCGCCTTGAAGGCGTCTGCGCACGCTGCAAAGACTGCCAAGAAGGAGACGGCCAAGGGGAAAAAAAGTCGCAGCAAGCGCACATCGATCGTTGTGGCCTGCACTCTCAATCTCGCCGCCCGCCCTCCTGCAGCCCAACAAATCACGACCTCAACTACAACCACCATGGCATCCTCGTTGGCGCTTGCACACATTGATCCGCTCAGACTCGATACGTACGGCCCGCGAGAGCAGACTTGCTGTCGTGTAGCTGCCGCGAGGAGCGACAAGGCGACCATGGGCAAAGGGCAGACGGCGGACGTCGTAATCATGCGCTTGCACACAATGAGTCCGGCTCATCCCCACCCACGCCAGCTCGTCTTCGGCCAGTCTCTTCCAGTACATATCATTGGCTTTCGCAGTTCGCTTTCGCTGCTGTCCACGCTACGTTCAGACTTTTCTCTCCAACTCCCTGCATCGACACTCGTACAAAAACAACATGCTACATGTTATTCGCCTGCGCCAGCCCTTGGGCCCCGTCATGTACTACCTCTTCGTTCCTCTTGACCTCACGCTGATCAACAGCGAAGCCGACAGCTTTAGCGGAGAGGTCATCGTTGCGACCAACGACGACTCTGTCACCAACGAGCACTTGTTTACCTCGGTCACGCCTCCCATCTGGGGTGAGCCTGGCCAAGATGTGATCAACATCGGATATCAAGGTCTCGCCTTTAGCTTTCACGCACCAATCCTGGCTCCCTCTCAGCCAGTGCAGCGCTTCACGATGACTATCTCGCGCAGGGTCGGTGCGGAGCATCACTACAATTGAGCGCATGCGCCACAGTCTCACAGTGTTCGCGAGAGCATCAACTTGTCGTCGATACGAAGTGATAGATCAAGAAGAGGAAGCTGGGGGAGGCGCGGACTCCAGCTCAAACGGGGCAACGAAGGGCTGGCAGCACAGGCTTGTCTAGCCGAGCCAAAGCTCAACTTACGAGAGGACCAGCTGGCTGTGTGTCTCGTCCCGGCCTCGCCACATCATCTCTCATCTCTGTCCGCCTCGCTAGCGAGGTGTGCTCGCCTCTCAATAATGTCAGCTTTGTCAACTTCGCGAGACTTCCTTCCACGAATGCTAGGGAGGCGTGGCGAGAGGAGAGAGATAGGTGGGCTGGTCATTTACGCTAATCCGGCGCGAGGTGCGTCGCCCTTGTCCACTCAGAAGCACCACGATCGTAGGAGGAAGCACAGAGCAGAGCAGAGCGAAAAGGTCCATGAAATGCACCCACGCAGCGCAGGCGAAGCGCACGAAGCAGCTGGGTGGTGGCAACGCGCTGTCGTGCAAGTTCGTCTCGCATCTTTTCATCCTCCCGCGGCGGCATCGCGCTCAGGTGTCAAAGACAGATGCGCTGGATGCGCAAACACGACGAGCGATCTTCACAGCCGATTCGAACTTCGAGATGGTCATGATGCTTGTGTTGATTTGGACAGGACAGAGTTGCCAGCGACGACCTGCGCGCGCGTAGCCACCGCATCGTGTTGAATCCTGAGCCACCTCATCGTGTTCTGAGCGAGCGAGGAGGACGCGCTACTCGGGCCCTGCGCCCCTGCAACCGCATTTCTCCTCCTCGGGGTCTACCCTGAATGCCCACCAAAGGGGAAAAGCCTCGTGGAGCGTCTGATGAAATGGGTCATCGAGGAAACCCTGCTTCTTGGAGCCCCAGCAAACGAGGTTCAAGGGGGGAAGAGGTGCTCCTTTCTTGTGCTTGACGAGCTGCCAATGTCCGGGAATGTGCAGCAGCGCAATTGGCTCGCCTGCTTTGAGTGGACCTTTCACTGGAGCATAAGTCTGCATCATGCGAGAGTATTGACCATCGTAGACGCAGATGACGCGGCCGACGAGTTGAGCAAGGAAGCCAAGGTCAGCCGTGTCGAGCCAGAGGTCGGGATCGATGCAACCAGAGGCCGATTCGTTGAGTGCGCCTTGAATGCCTTCCCAGAAGACCCTTCGCTTGGCGTCGTCGATGATGCTCTGCGGGATTTTAGGCCAAAGGCGTGGAAGTTCCTCTTCAAGCCATTCAAAGTATCTCAGGCGAATCGTAGACGCATCCAGCCCCAGTGCCCTGCCCAGAGCGTGGTAACCGCAGTTACCGTCTGGATTGGGGTCCCAGAGACAGTCTTCGGAGTCGCACTCGATGCAGTCTCGGAGAATGGCACCCAGATCTGCGGGGTCGCCGCTGCCTGGCCAGAGATAGACGACGGGCATCGCGGTGTGTGTGTGCGCGTTGAGGTTGCCGAGTTGGTGGCCACTTGAGGCGGTGGACGAGGCGTAGAGAGAGAAATGGGGGTGGAGAGGGTGGAGAGGGTGGAGAGGGTGGAGAGGGTGGAGAGGGTGGAGAGGGTGGAGAGGGTGGAGAGGGTGGAGAGGATACTGTAGGAGGTTTGCCTGATCGTAGCGAGCGCCCACTCGAGCGTAGGGCCGGGCCTGGAGAAACAGGTACAGGCGTCCACCCTTCTCTCGAGAAGCGTCCAGAGTTGCACGGGCCAGGCGGCGGGTACGCCTCTCGATTAGTAGTGATAAATTCTGTGCGAGCGGCACGGGCGAGGCAAAGCGACGCGGCGCGCCTGAGATGCTCACATCCTTCTCTTCGCACCGACTCTTCGACACACTTATGGCGAACAGCTCTAAAAATCACGCGCCACTCGTGATCCCTGAGCGCTTTGCGAAACTGTTCACCAACGCCAGGCCCGCTCGCCGCACATCCCTCACGAACCAACGGCCCTCGCATCGAGCGCGTCGACCAGCGACCGCACCTGCCTCACTTCCTTCTCTGTTCTTCTTTGTCTCAAAGCCTTTCGGTGAGTATCTGTTGCTGGATGCGTTACGTCCACGCTAATGCTCCCGTACGCTGCTACCTGCAGTCACTTTCCCCGCTGGCACCTCCCTCTCAGCATCTCAATTTCCCAAGCTCATCAGCTCCAAGAATGTTCGTCCTCGCTCTAGATTCCACTGGGTTCACATCGCACCTTCTTCGGATCTGGATCTCATCTTCCTCTCCCATTGGGGGTCAAGATTCGTGAGGGTGAGGCAGGCAGACGGTCCTCACGGTCGCGTGTACTTTGAGGAGGTGGCAAGTGGACCGGAGCGCTACCTCTCGAGCGAGGTCAAGGTGGTCAACATCTGCGGATACCCCGCCGTGCGCCTCCTTCGCGTTGAGGTCGCCGGAGAGGACATCAACCTCTTCGTCAAAGAGCTAGCACCCAGCTCTGGCGTCCCACCGCTGTGCCCGAGGTGCAAGAACGCGGGCGCGAGCCACGCTGCGCCTCGCGAGTCGCCTGCTCCCTCGGCGAGCCATGCTACGCCTCGCAAGTCGGTTCTTCCCCAATCTCCATCTGATCCCACCCCTGGCTCTCCGGTCTTTTCTCCTCCTCGCGGCTCGCCAGTGGTCTCTGAGGGCGGTAATCGTGAGGTTGACGATGGGGAGGAGGGCGACGATGGGGAGAAGGGCGACGTACTCATGAGGGAGGGCGAGGGCGCCGACCAGAGTGAGTCGAGCGTCGTATCTCGACGAGCGTCGTCTCTCGACGAGCGTCGTCTCTCGACGAGCGTCGTCTCTCGACTGCCTCACATCGTGCTGACTGCTGCGCCACCACAGCGCTCGAAATGCCCGCGGACATCTCTCTCCCCGACTTCATGAGCGCCTGCTTTGACCCTTCGACCATTCGCAAGCCGGCACAGGACCCCAACTGCGGCTACGCCTGCTTCGAGCGAGGGCCTCACCTCTCCATGGACATTCGCACCTTCTTCTTCAACCTCGTCGGCCAACCTGCGGCCTTCAACACTCCTCTCGCTGTCCTCATCTTCAAGACACTCTCTCTCGTTCAACGCTCCAACATCGCGCAGCGAATCTTCCCTGGCGGCGAGATGCCCACTTCGAAGGATCCGATGCCTCCTCTTCGTGCCGACCACAAGCTGCGCAAGCAAGACCTTCCTCTGCTCGCCACAGCCCTCAGGAGCCCGGTCGCTGCCCTTGTTTCCCCGCACTACCAGCGTTCGAGGACCTACCCTCCAGTCGGTTTGGGTGAGGACGAGAAGATGGGCGAGCCCTTTGTCGTCCTCATCCACGACGAGGGTACCGAGGATGAGGTGTGGTGCCACTTCGATGCGCGACCTGACGCTCGCTTCCCCCCCTTCTCGTTGGGCTTCTGGGGTGATGAGCAGGAGCGACTGATGGCGACTACGGAGCACGAGCAAGCCCATGCCAAATGCAGGGTGTGGGTCGTACGAGACGAGGGTGCTCGCTATGCGCGTTGTGGATGCAGGATCGAGGGCGCGGCTGGGGCATCATCATTGTCGTCATCCTCAACTTCGTCATGAGTCATCGAGGCATGCGAGCCCAAGACGATCACGCGAGACCACGCGAGACCACGCGAGACCACCCAAAATCTATTCACACGAGCCTGCCTCTACATCCTCTTCTTCTTGTTCTTCCTCTTCTCCTCCTTCTCCCTCTCCTCCCTCTCCCTCCTCGCCGCCGCTGCCTTCATCGACCGCGCCACAATCGCCTTTTGACTTGCGCCATTGCCCTTGACACTCGCCGCAGGACGAGAAGCCTCCCCGCCAGAAGAGGAACCGCCCGTTGCCACCCAACCCTTTGTCGTCGGCATACCCAGTTGCCCCACCAGCCCCTGCTCTTTCTCCTCTGCCTCCTCGCAGAGCTTGAGCTGCTGCTGTCGATGCCTGACTACCTGTTGAAGATAGTCCAGCGACTCCCCAACAGCGTGCTTAAAGCCACGGTCTGGCCGCGCCGGGTTGAGGAGGGAGGGGGAGGGGGGGCGAGGGCCGAAGACCGCTGTCGGAGTCGACTCCGCTGCGCGAGAGGCGTCCAGGATGTCCTGGTCCCTCTTCTTGGCGCGCATGTGCGGGAAGTCGCGGGCGAAACCAGTGTCGATGGGGACGAAGTCCACCGCCTGGAAGTAGGTGCCTGCCCGGTTCCTCTGCCTTTCGTGGTTGCGACCGTAGTCGTTGTAGGCATCGGACATCCCTTGGCGCCCTGCGAGGAGTGCAATTTTAGCTGGCGCTCACCTGGCGCTCACCTTCGCTAGCCTCGCTGCTGTACTCACAATTGTCCCCCGCTCCACAAGGGTGCTTCCTCCCCTTGCACCCCTCGCACACGGTGCCCTTGCCCTTGGCTTTGATGCAGAGCGTGCCCTTGCGGACGCAGGGAAGGCACCTCCGCACGTAGGCCGGCCCATCCTCGGACGGCCAGGTCATTTTCGCCAGCTCCGGATCGTCGTAGGAGGAATCCGTAGCGTTGAAAGCCGCCCGAGTGTAGTCGACGCGGCAGGCGAGAGGGACCTTGGCGAACTTGCCGACGAAAAGTGAGTCGTCGACAGGGGCTGGTGTAGGCTCCTCGATCGGGCCGTGCTCCTCGGGAGCAGCCTTGACGAGGGCGTCGATCCACCTGTACCCGGCGTTGTCCTTGGTAGCGGGCGTGGTGGGCGTAGTGGCTGGAGTGGCGGGCGTAGCGGGCTTGGTCTTGGGTGCGGCGGGCGTAGCGTTGGGCGTGGCGGGCTTGGCGGCGGGCGTGGTGCTGGGCGTTGCTGAGGGTGTGGTCTTTGGCTTGGCTTTGGCGGCGGCGGGAGAGGACTTGCTGTTGGACTCGGCGGACGGCCCGTCGATGTCGATCGTCTCCTTTTGCGCTGGCTTTGGCGGCTTCGAACCAGCGGCCACCCATGCCTCTGTGACGAGCGGCGCAAGAGTGAGACTGTTAGCAGCATATATGCTAGTCTGTCGATGCATAGCAGCTCACCCTTCTCTCGCACCGCGGCCCAGAACCTCTCCCTGTAGTTCTCCGGCGGGTTTGAGGCTAACGAAGAAGAGCGAGTGAGCAGGGCAAGTCCACGGGTCTGGTAAGTCATGCTGTGTGTGCCACTATGATCGTGCTCTTTCAATCACCGGTGCGTGGATCAAAGATATATGGGCAGGGCTGGTACGCTGCGGCCGTCGCCTTCTGCGGCCTTTTAAAAGGCTCGTTGGGCGCTGGCAGCGTCGAGCGTGTGTCGCTCGACGACGACGAGCCAAACGACAGCGACCACGTAATTCCTGCACGCGTGCGAAGCGAAGCAAAGGCAGAGACTCCGTGATGGTCAGGTAAGGCGCACGCTCATTGCGATTCGACTGGAAACAGACTGCTCATTGTCCTGAGCGTTGCGCAGCCAAGAAGGAGGTCAGCGCTGCTGCTGCGCATCGTCGCTCTCTTCCTCTTTTGCTCACGGGAAAATGCGTTATATGCCGTCTTGATTGGTCGAGGCTCTCTGTTCAGTCACGGCGATGCGAGCAGCGTGGAACAGACGAGATTGTTATTCGTGGTAGCGACACAAGAGGCGACAACAGGGCTGGTGGTTCGAGCGAAGAGGCGTGGTGAGGAGGAAGAGAAGGTAAGGAGCGAGCTCAGTCCGCCGCCCTTGCTAGTCTAGAGTAGTCCGCCCTGCAAGTCGCCCCGAGTTGCCACGGCTCTGTTCCGTCATTATGTTGTTGAGCGTATGGTTCCGTTCCGAGTCCTGAGGGTAACGACTCGTCTCCGCCTGTGTGTCACATTGTAGTCTCCTTTTCCTTCACTACAATCAGGAAACACTTGACATCCTGCATATGCCCTCGAGCGCTCGGCCGGAAATTGAATTGGACATCATCATCATCACTACAATCATCATCATCTTTCCAGCCTCATAGCTTCATCGCCTTCACGCTCAACATATGTCGTCACGCGAGCATACGGCAGCACGCCCAATCTCTTCGCTCAGCGTGCGATAGGGCAGCTTCGTCGCTCACTCGAACGCAGAGACGCTGGGAAAATGTCCGTCCGACGCTGAGCACGATCGCTCGGCCGCCTTGCCAAATACCGGGCCGTCGCGATGCTGATCAACGGGCCGTCCACTCATTTGGCGCCGCCCTTGCATTGAACGAGCTTCCAGCGTCGACCGCTGCGAAGAAGAGGATCGACGACGAGAGCGCATCTTGTCTCTTCTCTTTGCAATCCCAAACCCCGTCCCCACCACCACCACCAAACCTTCTTGCAAACCGCAAGCGCGCACACACACACACACACAGACCCTCGAAAGTGCTAACCACTGACCCTTGCCTTCTGCCCCCAAAGCAGACTAGAATCAACCACCTCGAAAAACGCCTAGACAAGATAACAAGATGATTGTAACACGACTGGCCCGCAAGATCGCCCACGCTGTATGCTACCTCTTCGTTCCCTTTGCTCTGCCTCCTCTCGCCGACACCAGTATCACGGACTCCTTCTATGCCGAAGTTCTCATCGTCGCGGACTCTCACGCAGCCGGCGAGGCTGAGGCCTTTGCATCCGACAGCCCCCCTCCTGCTGGCCAGCCTAGTGACGTGGCAATTACTGTGGCTTACGGAGGGATCCTATACGGTGTCCCAATCCCCGTGATGAGCGCTGGAGCCCCCCTCTCGCGCTTCACCATGCGAATCGCTCGTCGTCGGGAGCAAGGGCAGGCCATGCCGCAGCTCGCAGGGGTCGACACTACCATGGCGTCTGTTGAAGCACCTCACCAGCCCGACCAGCAGCTCGCTGTCCAGCCCGCCGTCCAGCCCGCCGTCCAGCCCAGCCACCAGCCCGCCGTCCAGCCCAGCCACCAGCCCGCCCACCTGCCCGCCCACCTGCCCGCTGACCTGCCCGCCGACCTGCCCACCTATCAACCAGCGCAGCCAGCCTTCGATTACGAGGCGCTGCAGGTTTCTGCCCTTGCCGCACAGAAGGCTGCAATCGACGCAGAGCTGGCATACTGGGAGAGTGCAGAGATCACCGCCGCCGAAATCGCCGCCACTGCCATGGACGTTGAGCGACTGGACAGCGAGGACGAGGATTCGCAATCCCTCCTTGGGCTGGAGGATCTGGTGGCGGACAATCTGCCGTCGCTGACGCCGCCGACTGGCACTATGGGCCCCCCTGCCGCTCCACTCCGCAAATCAATCTTCACGACCCCGTGGCAGGAGTGGTGGCCTTCCGTGCCCGACGTCACGGGCGAGTTGCTTGCTCTGCGTTTGGCGCATGCCAACACAGAAGTGGCAGCGCTGCGCGACGCCATGGTCGCTGCCCGCTCGCTCTCGGCCCTCGAAGACGCCACGTCGGAGTACAACTCGGCGTGCCTCGTCCCAAAGCCTGGGCAGGAGTCGTTGGACGAGCGCTACGCGCGCCTTGGCTCTCTCGGCGGCCAAATGCTTCTCCGGGACCTGCAGGCGGCGGTCCACCTCGTCAAGACGCGCGTAAGCACAAAGGCTTCCGTGAATGCTCCAGGCTTGGTGGACCTGGACACCTTCAGTCGCGCCCTCTCAAATCTTCAGCACGCTCTTCTCTTCCTCCTCTGCTGCTCATCTCTCGCCCCCTTCTACATACGCTCAGCGCAAGACGCCAAAGATCTGATGGACAGGTTCCCAGATCTCGATGCCCGCAAATGCAACTCACCGGGCACCTATCTGCGGGTCGTCTTGTACGAGCCTGCCTTTCAGGGAGGAGCGCGCCGACTCGTCTTCTACGTCGGCATTGCGCATGGGCAGACGGTAGCCAAGAGGAGTGGCCAACACAGCAAGGAGTTTGAGGACCTGCTGTGGTATGCGGAGGAGGGTGATGAGGGAGGCTTCGCTCGGCAGGCCGAGAAGCAGCCTAACCTCTATAAGGCCAAGGTGGTAGACCAGTGGGCCTTTACGCTGTCGCGCGGGCCAGACGGCTTAACAGAGGAGGAGCTGTGCAGCTGGTTTGCGCAGCAGGCAGCAGCGCTTCAGCCGCCCATCGACAAGGGCCGCAACTTGCTGGACTTTGGTGCTCGCCGGTGCCGCACGAAGGAGAACAGGCAGAGATTCGCCAACCGCATGGTGCTCGCCTACCACGAGCACATTGCAGCTGCCTTCTTTCGCTGCGTGGCCGGCCTTCCGGATGAGGAGGGGTACCCTCGCGCCAACCTCTTCAAGGGCGCCTGGTTTGACGGCCGACAGTACTATGGCGGCAACTCGGCACCTCCCGTCGTCGGCTTCGGCAACCTCGAGGGGAGCCTCGCGTGGCAGCTGCAACAGCAAGCCACAACAACCATCAGCGAGTCAGCAGCTGCGGATCGCTACCGGGCCGTGATGGAGCAGCTCGACAAGGTCTCCATTGGCACGTCGCTGCTCAGCAACCCCACGACGCGCCAGCGCCTTCACCCTCGCTACTGGCGTCTGACGACCCTTGCCGATCCGCGGGCAAAGAATCCCGGCACGCGCTCGCGCCCTGGTCAGGCGTTGCCGCGCTCCCCGTACGTGGAGCTGACGCAGACGCAGACGCAGGCGGGGGAGCAGGCAGAGACGCAGGGGCAGGCGGGGGAGCAGGGGGAGACGCAGGGGCAGGCGGGGGAGGAGACGCAGGGGCAAGCGGGGGAGGAGACGCAGGGGCAGGCGGCGTGGAATGACGACGGGTACCTCGACGATGACCAGGCGTTCGATGAAGATGCACACTACGACTCCATCTTCGCGGACTCGGACAAGCTCACCTTCCCTGGACTCGTCGACAAGATGTACTTTGTCGATATCCTTCCCCCCGTCTCTGGCTCGCAGGAACATGGCCTCTACGGCAGCGTCGGCGAGTCACACCGCGTCATTCCCGACGAGAGGGCCGTCTATACACTGCCTTCTGCGACCAAGGAAACGATGGACAAATTCTGGGAGAAGGTCAACAAGGGCGCTTTCCGTGGGCTCGTCTCGGGCAACAGCCTCATCATCAAGTGGAACGAGGAGTGGCCTAATCTCGAGGCGAAGCTCGATTTTGACATCGAAGACGGCCCAGTGCGCCTTCAATTTCGCTCCTTGGAAGGTGGTGGCAAGCGCTTCGCGCCTCAACCAAAGGCGGCACGCGCCGAGATGTCATACCTCCTGCGTCACTACGACCTCGTCTTGGTCCGAGGCAGAGGGGACGACTTCCAGCTCTGGCCTATCGAATTGGAGGGCAAAGTTGTCGACTTTGATTGGGATCAAGGCATGGTCCTTCCTGGCGAGACGGTGGCGTACCAGCGAAAGGAGCCCATCGTCTACGCTCCCTTTTGCCACCCGGACGTAGAAGACTTGAGGGGAGTTGGCGTCTGCCTGCGCGATGGAGGCTCGCGTTTCCCCATCGATGCAACGACTTTGAAGCTCGAGCTGCCGGGCAGGCCCGAGTACCACGCTGCATGGGGCACCTTTGACGACGTCGACCAAGAGACGAAGCATGCTGTGGTACGCCTCCCTCTGATGTCCGACGGTACGGCGCCGGATATCATCTTCAAGGTCGACCTCGCTTGCGCCGTGCTCTTCTCAGCGACCCGCAAGCACATCACTGAGGAGGATCGTATGGGGATCATTGCGGTGGAAGACTCGGAGTGGGTCAAGGTGGCCGAAGAGGGTGGTGTCATCGATGGGTGGGTTCGACGCCTCTTGATCAACTTGGCCAGGATCTCGCGCGGCTGCCTGAAAGAGGACCTTCTGAGTCCCGACTCCGCGTCCCCCGCGTCCGGGCCCGCCTCTACCTCTGCGTCTCGCACCAAGCGCTCCCTTTCCCCCTCGTCACCTTCGCCCTCGGACAAGCGTCCTCGACGAGACTAGCACGTGAGCTCCGCGCCCGCTCCACGCGCGCTCCACGCCCGGCCCACGCCAGCCCCACGTCCGCCCCAAGCCCGCCGCACGCTCGCCTTGTCCGCTCTGCGCGCTCGCCTTGTCCACTCTGCAAGCTCTTCAACTTCTTCTCTGTCGACCACGGACGCTCTTCACGTTGCTTTTTCTCGGCTACGGACGCTCTACTATCCGCTCTTCTCCGGCTACGGACGCTCTACTACTCGCTCTTCTCCGGCTACGGACGCTCTTTTACTACTCGCTCTTCTTTGACCTACGCGCTCGCGCTTCTTCGACCATGGACGCTGCTCGCCCAACGCACTCGCGCATCTTCGACTACGCGCGCTCCTCAACTCGCGCCTCTTTAACCTACGCACTCGCTCTTCTGCGGCTACGGACATTACTTTACGCTCGCCCTAAAGTCGACTCGCCATATAGACTACTCGTACGTCACTTATACGCTTCCACGAATCGACTTGCGTTTCCGCGACTTCAGTCTGAATCGAAGCGGCGCGCGACGAGCAGAGCGTGGGTGTAGATGCGATGCCATGCGATGCCATGCGATGCTCCTACGCAGGTGGCTAGGCCTCAGGCAGAGAGACTGGGATTCTGCGATGCTGCGTCGATGACATGGGAATCGATTCGCTGCGAGTAAAGACATCGCGCGCTGCGTCACGTCGCGTTTCATCGCTGGGAAGCGAAGCGGGAAGTCAGCGGTGGCTACAGAGCATCGAAAGTCTCCTGTCGCAGTCTCACCTTTGGCCTTGCGCAGCTAGTAGCTCCCTGGGCTGGTAGCAAGGCACTGAGTGGACTGAGAAGGGGCGTGTCAGCGCTGCAGCTTTGGACCGCGTGAGGCATCTCATGTACTCACTCTCTCTCGGGTCGATGCTCACCACAAGGGGCGCAGCAAGCGGGCGCAGCCCCTCCCCCCTCGCGCGATGATCATGCCTCGCTGTCATGAAGAAAGAGACGAGGTTGCAAGTAAGCGGCTCATGATCAAATCGTAGCTCGCAATGGGCGTCGCTGTCGGCCGATGAGAGCTGGTGGACAAAGTCTGCGGCGTTCGATCAGCTGCATGCTTCGAGACGCGCATCCGGACGTTCTCTGCGCCGCCGTCTCGCCACTCACGTCTCTTGCGCACCGCTCGCATTTCAGCTTGTGCTGGTGAGATGTCGTTGCCAGCTCCCGCGCGTTGCCAGCTCCCGCGCGTTGCCAGCTCCCGCGCGCGTCTCGTGGTGGTGGATGGTGAGGATGAGTGGGTGGACAAGGACGCAGGCGGCATGGACGAGTCGAGTCGACTGGCCAGGGAACAGGGTGCCTGTGCGCACGGACACACTGCTCTATTGCCCTCCGCTGCAGGCTGGGGCGCCCCGCTGCACGTTCGGCGGGCCGCTGCACGTTCCCCGCGAGAGAGCGGGCTAGCGTGCCTGTGTGGGGTGTGGCCTCCTCCTGCCCCCTTGTAGTGTGTGTGGGTGAGCGAATCAGGGATT